TACTCCTTTCAACTGGACCCAACGAGCCCAGTCCACTCGCTCAACTGAACCCAGACGACCCTAGCCACTCCGCCTTTTACGCGCCCCAGCTGTTCCCCTTTAACTTCCCGATTGCAACCCGCCCCGCCGCGAACCGCCACCGGGAGCCCAGAACCTATATAAGCGGATCCAAACCCAGACTCAAACCGAAACCAAAAATTCAGGCTCATGGTTTCAGTGGGTGAGGACTCCCAGCTCCACGCTCCCAAACTTCCTTACGCTACAGCCACTATTCTTCGTCGGCCCCGGCCGAAGAAGGCGAGCGGTCGACAAGCCGTGTGAGACCCGCACCGATCTTCAAAATTGGTTGCTTTGGTACGGCGGCGTCCGGATGCGCGGAGTGCGAGGACCCCCAACGGTCAACAAGTTCCAGATCTCCTTCGGGACCTTTGCCACCTCCGAAATTGTCGTCCCTCCAACTACTTCCCGCGATTGGCTTCGGTTCGCAATCCTGCCGAACTTCTCTACTCGGTCTTGTCCCCTCAGCCTCGCCTCGGTCAGCATGCATAAGAATATACGTGCTGCTCGCGCTTCCTCTCCTATATGTCATCCGGAATATACAGCTTAGTGGCAGGGCTCCCCCTTTTATCTCTTAATTGAAATTCTCCTAACTCCAAAGTCCACCATCGTATATCAAGCTCTCTGGTCTTGTTAATAGCTTGGGATCAATACTCGCCACCCTGCTAATTCTGTCTCCGTTTTGAATTGTTTTTTTTTATCATTATCTTAATGATATATTGTACTGTTGATCCTAACTTCACCTTTTCGGTTAGATAGCTTTATTAATATATGAATCGTATCTTACTATTCCTATGAGGCTTCTCCTTCTTATTTCCACTGATCTATTTTTGTACATAAACAGTTATGAATTTTGTTTTTTCCCCCAACCGCCTTTCTTTTTTAACTATTTTTCCTGTAAATTTATCTTTTTGACGTGACTTTTTTAATACTGGTAATACTAGAACTCATTGTAGCATTGGGTATAACAGGATTAACCTAAAGAAATTCTAACTAATTAAAATCAGTTCTCCGTTGCATATGTGGGAAACATGACCATCCTGTGATATTTTAGGGGTACAAAACTCATGCAATTACAGTATGAGAGGTTACTGATTTACTCTTATATAAACTTTCATTCCACTTCACAATACTCATCTATAAGATTTCTTCATTAGAGTATTATGTAGAATCTTTTTTATTTAGCTAGGGGGGGGGGTGTAAGCAATGCGTCTCTTTTTGTAGTGATTCAATGCATCCTTATGTAATGAATATATTAAACTGATAACCTTTTGTATCTTTAGGGTAAATATCCCTATAGAAGTATCTATTTCACTGTTAAGATGAGAGAAACAACTCACAAAATATTCTACTCAAAATATTGATAAAATAAATAAAGAATAATTCAATTGAGAACAAAATGAAAATATTTTGTATAACCTAATTTAACTCAAAAAACTATGAACTACGAGAAATCAGGGAACCACCTTTAGTCTCCCTCCCATTCGTCCCATATTCCATAATAAAGAATGATAGAAGCGGAAACAAAAATTGATTTGTGGATAGCATCATCCTCAACAACACGTTTAATTGATACAAATAGTCTTAATCTCATATGCGTCCCTAATAACGTTTTAGCACACGAGGACCACTTACCATCGATAGCACAAACCAATCCATGCTATTACGGAAGACTTAGCTATCACTCATGCTTACCACATATTCGCGTCAACTGTGTTCTTATCAGACTTACCAGCGCTAATAATTTGCACATATTCGGCGGGTTGTTTGGTTGCGGAGGAAACTTTGCCATTTTCGGCGGATTGAGAGTGCGTTGGAAAGGCCATGCATAACGAACAAGAATCATTTTTATAAAACTACAAAATCATTTTATAAACTAATTATGATACATCATTTTCCAAACTTATACCTTCCCTCACGTTCACACATCCTTTTTATTGTTTCTTCACTTGTTAATTTTCTCCCGTTTTTCAAATGCTTCTTATTACGGATCAATTTTATATTTCACCACCTCACCTTTGCCCAAGGAGTACTTGTGATTTTCAAGCCAAGTAGTTTATACTGATATCCATTCTGTTCTATGTTTATCTAAATTCTATCAACAGCACCTCAAACTAAATGCCTACTGTATCTGTATAATAAGAAATCTACAAGAACGTAGTACGACAAACTTTCCGGCTTTATATTTCATCCTATACAATAAGATATACTCACAATAAATACGGCTCACACTCTGGCACGTTGTTATATAGCGGACCACACACAATATTACCGTAGTAATAGTCACTACAACACCATAAAAGTTCATTGGCTCATGTCGCCAACAAGATCACCGGATCTGATTTTACAGTCTAAAGCCTTTGGACAAGTATAAAAAACAATGTCTCACATGGCTAACGAAACTTGGTTAAATCCTAGCACCAGCCATCGTAATAAGATTGAGTGAAAGAGAACAGGAATTGCATGCCGTTATAATTCTTTACATATTCTTAGACAATTTTATACTAGAATACTGTCCTAGTCTAGAATAGCCACAATTCAGAATATAAAGAGAAATACTAACAAGAAGAAAAAACAAGTATGTTCATTTTAATTCACAAACATCACAACAGTTTAATTTACCAGCAATTTATGTATAAATATTACATACTAGAGGTAAGTGCATAATTCATTTTTCTGCTCAGGGGCACATATAATTTTTCCCATAGCTTTTATAAACGGTTAATCTATTCATTTCATCGATGCATCCAGGGATAGTGAGGACAGCAAACGTTATTATAACACTCCATCTATCGTCCTTATCGTTCATCAAGCTGAGTATAACC